CTTTCTAACAAACTTATGCATTGGAAATCCCTTTATGATCTCCCAGCAACTTTCTTATTATTTTGGGAACTTGATATTATGTAGGTGAGTTTATTGATCTCCCAACAACTTTTTTATTATTGTGGGACCTTGATATTATTTATGTGAGTTTATTGCCTCATATAATTATTCCATATTGCTATTTACTCTTTTTTCTTATAAATTTTAATCTTATTAAAATCATATAAAACAAATCTTTATTAATTCCTATTTTTATATTTGAAGATACGTTGAAATTTCTATTGAGTAAATCTAAAATATATTTAATTTTAGGAATGAAAATATAGCCATTGATTTACCGGATGGATAGTGTGGAACATCTAATCCGATGTTTCTTCTATATTCGAAAATGAACATGTCTCATGGTCTCCCCCAATATCCTATGTGGTATATCTAAAATTATATTGGGAAGTTCTTCGCTGGCCAACCTCCACCAAATTGCGCAAGGGCCAAGGACCTAATCCGCTGAACTTTTCCCTGGGCTGCCTAACTTACAAAAATTCCTATTGATGCTTTCTCAAATAAAGTTATTCATTATTGTAAACGGATATATATATGAAGAACTGTGTTGTTAAAGTCTTCATTTAGACCCATACATAGCAATAAAGGGCCAGAAGCATGAAAGAATCTTGCCACGAAGGAAAAGCATGAAAGAATCGTCGCATGTAGACTAACATTACTTACATTATGGTACATGTAATATATGGTTCATATATTGTACACATTCAAATATAAAAGGGAAAAAAAGAGAAAAAAAACGAATGAATTTTACACTGAGAACACGAAAGAAGTATGTGATTGTACACATTATAATTAATATTGCGAATATTTTGTCCCTTGCATTAATCATGATTAATTTTAATTTTTTTCCCCTTCCACTTATGATTCTCTCCCTTTCCTCGCGCAAAACCTATCAAGCAAGAGTGAACGCCGAATCTCACTCTGTTCTCTGCAATGGCGGCCATGATGAACCCCAGATCATACTTTTGAAGGAGGGAACAGACACTTCCCAGGGGAAGCCACAACTGATCAGTAATATCAATGCTTGCACAGCTGTTGTTGATTCAGTGAGAACAACCCTAGGTCCTCGAGGAATGGACAAGCTTATCCACGATGATAAAGGGAACACCACCATTTCGAATGATGGAGCCACCATTATGAAGCTTCTCGATATTGTTCATCCGTCTGCTAAGACCCTTGTTGCCATTGCTAATTCTCAAGATTCAGAGGTCGGTGATGGGACTACTACTGTAGTCCTTATTTCAGGAAAATTTTTAAAAGAGGCAAAGCCTTTCATTGAGGATGGGGTGCATCCTCGGAATCTAATACGCAGTTATCGTACTACATCCTATTTGGCAATTAACAAAATTAAGGAACTAGCAGTAAGCATAGAGGGCCGAAGTTTTGAAGAGAAGAAAGATCTGATGCAAAAGTGTGCTGCAACAACCCTCTCTTCAACACTCATAGGTGGTGAAAAGGAATTTTTTGCTTCAATGGTTGTGGATGCTGAAATGGCCATAGGAGAGGATGATTGGTTGAACTTAATTGGTGTGAAAAAGTTCCTGGTGTAAACATGAGAGATTCTTTTCTGTAAAGGGACTTGCATTTAAAAAGACATTCTCATATGCTAGCTTTGAACAACAACCGAAAGGGTTTTCAAATCCTAAAATTCTATTATTAAAGAGTTAGAGGTGAAATCAGAGAAAGAAAATGCAGAAATCAGGCTCAATATCAATCTATTGTTGATGCTGAGTGGACTATCATTTATGACAAGTTGGATAAATGTGTCAAATCAGGGGCAAAGATAGTTCTCTCACGTCTGGCTATTGGTGATCTGGCAACACAGTACTTTGCCGATCGCGATATCTTTGTGCTGGTCGTGTAACAGAGGAGGATTTGCAGCGGGTTGCTGCTGCAACTGGTGGGACTGTGCAAACTTCTGTCAATAACATCATTGATGAAGTACTTGGATGCTATGAGCTTTTTGAAGAAAAGCAAGTAGGAAATGAGAGGTTCAACATTTTTAGTGGATGTCCCACCAGTGGCCAGACAGCAACCATTGTTCTACGTGGTGGTGCAGATCAGTTCATCGAGGAGGCGGAACGAAGCCTTCATTATGCCATTATGATTGTGAGAACAGCACTGAGGACCTCGACTGTTGTTGCTGGTGGTGGTGCTATTGATATGGAGATAAGTAGATACCTGAGACAGCATGTGAGGACTATAGCTAGGAAATCTCAATTGTTTATTAACTCATATGCCAAAGCACTTGAGATTATCCCGCGCCAACTATGTGATAAGGCTGGTTTTGATGCAACTGATGTTCTGAACAAGCTCAGACAGAAACATCCACTACCATCTGGGGAAGGTGCCTGTTATGGTGTGGACATAAACACCGGTGGCATCACCTATACATTTGCTAACTTTGTATGGGAACCTGCAGTTGTGAAAATCAGTGCCATAAATGCTACAACAGAAGCAGCTTGCCTTGTTCGTAGTGTGGATGAGACTGTCAAAAACCCAAAGTCAGAGAGTGCTCAAGGTGAGGCTGCTGCAAGTGCTATGGGTCGTGGACGTGGTGGTGGGCCTGCCCTCCTTGAGGGGCATGCGCCGCCGGTAAATTTCAACGTTTAATTTTTTGTATAGTAATTTTAACCAAATTTGCTGGTGCTTTATTTCCTATATCATCTGGTTTTTTTATTGTGAAACAACTTTGTAGTTTTTTTATTGGGTCTTTTTGGCTCTGTCATTTGTTTTTGCATTTGGCACATTGAGTTTACTAGGCAGACCAAAGCCTTGAATTTCTTTGCCAAGGGATTGTCTTGTATGAAAATTTTCTTTGTTTTTTTTTTTTAAAAAAAAAACTATTTAGAAGATTTCATATTTAGAATTGAAAAATACTACATTTGATAACTGTTTGAAGTTCAATAGTGTTTTGGACTTGTGCTGGAATGAACCTAG